GAGGCAGCCCGGCACTCTGGCAAGAACATAAAGGGATACCGACCGGGTGTGTTCGTTCCTTGCTGTCAAGTTCACGAACATATATTCCGGTGCTAATTCATCCGACAGAGGACCAATTCAACGCCATCAACGAGATGCGAACAGAAGAGGTGCGGGACGTCTCGTCCAGAATGTGTCATCGTGAGGAAGAGACTGACGTCGTACCTCAGGCCCAGAAGGGACAAGCCGAAGCAATCAAGAAAGACCCAACTCTGGCGGTATGATCTTCGTCGGTACGACGCGAGACATTGGGCAAGCGCTAACAGAACGATGAACTACAGGCCACGTTTCACGGGAACCAGCCGCATCCTGGTGCTAGAATCGACAAGGAACTTCAGGAGGAGGACGAAGCTACCGTGAAGAAGAAGGATGAGCGCAAGCAAAGGAGCTGAATTGAATGGTAGATACCGCGAAAATCTACCGAAAAGTACATAATTCTCCGCAATGAAGTTGAGGCCATAACGTTGTCCATCTGTTCAGACACCGAAGTGGACGCACGTGATTTGGCTGACAGAAGGAATTTGTCGCAAGTGAGGCCGGAAGCGCCCTGGAGCGTTAGCGTATGGCCTGGCTGGCTTGCTGAATGAAGCGATCTCGTTGACGGCTGGTATCAAAGTCAGCGGAGGCCGGGAAATGAGGTCGCAAGTCGATGTCAAAACATCCGAATCCGGCAAGTATGTCGTTGCGGTGTCAAGACATTCGCTGTTGCCAAGACACACCAAGCCAAGACCTAACCTAATGGGGCTGACAACGGGGAGATGTGTCACTCCCTCGAAATGATTGGCCAAAACGCCCAAAAATCTTCGCGATGCATGCCAAGCTCTCCCTCGCTTAGCTGCATAATCCCTCCCCTAAGATGCACGACAACGCCACAACCGCCACCTGTTCCCCCGTTTAATCGCCGACTGGAGGCAATAACATACACACGCCATCAGCTCAAACCATCTCCCTGGTGTATATAACATGAACATGTCCTGACGGTACCTTCCCTCAACCTCACACCCCTCAACAAAGCCAAACCAAGAATCCACGATGAACAACCCAGAACCAAAACCCGACATCGCCCCGCCACCAACAGCCCACAGCTCGCCGCTCACTTTGTCCCTCGACGACGCCGAGAAGCAAAAAGCACAGGAGCCCCGCCACCAGCCGGCGAAAAAGACGTCCGCCTTCAAGTCGCTGGGATGGCTCGATCGGTTCCTGGCCGTCTGGATTCTGCTGGCCATGGTCCTCGGCGTGCTGCTGGGCAACTTTGTCCCCGGGACGGGGCCGGCGCTGCAGAAGGGCAAGTTTGCCGAGGTTTCTGTTCCGATTGGTATGTCCTTCCGCTCTTGTGAACTTGTTTGGATGGAGTGGTGGGTTGCTAACGACGTTGGGGACTGTACTGTAGCGGTCGGGCTGCTGGTCATGATGTACCCTATTCTGTGTAAAGTGCAGTATGAGACGCTGCATGATGTGTTTTCGCATCGGGGCGTGTGGAAGCAGGTTGGGTTTAGCGTTTTTGTGAATTGGATCGTTGCTCCGTTCTTCATGGTATGTATCCAGTCCTCGTGTGGACGAACAGTGAACTTCGGGCGTAGAGGCTGACACACAAAAGCTGGCGCTTGCGTGGGCATTCCTGCCGGACAAGGGCGAGCTCCGCGTGGGCTTGATTCTCGTTGGGTTGGGAAGGTGCATCGCCATGGTAAGTCATCCGCGCCTCATGATCAATCTGTTGCTGATATCCCAGGTCCTGATCTGGACGAGCCTGGCCGGCGGCGACTCGGAGTACTGCGCCATCCTGGTCGCCATCAACTCTCTGCTGCAGATCGTCCTCTTCGCGCCCATGGCCATCTTCTTCATCCGCATCATCAGCCACGAGTCGGGCGCGCTCGACGTGTCGTACTCCGTCGTTGCCACCAGCGTCGCTGTCTTCCTCGGCATCCCGCTCGGCGCCGCAATGGTGACCCGGTTCGGCCTCCGCGCCATCGCCGGACCGGCGTGGTTCAACAAGGTCTTCCTGAAATATGTAGCGCCGTGGTCACTTATCGGGCTGCTCTACACCATCATCGTCCTGTTTGCTTCCCAGGGTCGCCAGGTCGTTCACCAAATCGTCTCGGTTGTTCGGGTGGCTGCACCATTGGTGGTGTATTTCTTTGTCATCTTCTTCCTCACGTTGTTGGCGTCCCGGCGGGCTGGGTTTGGATACAAGCTCAGTGCTACGCAGAGTTTCACTGCGGCTAGCAACAACTTTGAACTCGCTATCGCCGTTGCGGTGGCTACCTACGGACCACAGAGTGATCAGGCGTTGGCGGCAACGGTTGGGCCATTGATCGAGGTCCCGGTACTGATCGCGCTGGTTTATGTGGTCAAGTGGATGGGAAACAGATGGGCGTGGCAAGACTAGACCTAGGCAGCGATGCCAGGGGGACGACAGAGTAGATAGGGTACTCAAAGTTCGCTTCACGTTCAGACTATCGCCGCCATCACTCAATGGAGCGAGAGTCTTATCCAACCACCACGTCTTCAACCTGAAGACCACCACGAAAAGCCTGGCCGTCCATGAAGTTGTCAACATAACACTCCCCAACCAGACTGTAAAACTCTTCTGCAGGATTCCGCCTCAGCACAACCGGCACACTGCATCCCTGCAGCACCCATACCTCATCACCCTTCCTCGCATCGGCAGGAATCAGACCAAGGTGTCCCGTCTCGAGAGTAGCAAGCACTTTGCCATCCGACTCGGTCTTCAGCCCAATAGTCTCCTGCATTCGCTCAGGGAGTTGCATCATGTCGCCGATCTGCTCCCACGGGGGTTCATGAATAACCTCACAAATATCTAGTAGCGTCCGCCCCCGGATAAGAAATTCCCTGTTATGTACGATCCATCGGATGGCAGCCGTCGACGCAGGTACAGCTTTGGGTCGGAAATGCTCCGACGTGTTTCGCGCCACGAGCTGTGCCATGTCCCCGCGCCAGGGGCCCAAAGGAGCGGGCCTTTCTAGATACCGGTCGTACCGATCGATGGCCAATGTCCGGACGAGGCTGTCTTCAATCTCGCGGGTGCTTCTCGTTGCGCTGTCGGTAATGGTGTTGAGAAGGGATGTGGACTGAACAAATACATAGTCCTCGTATTCGTTCCCCTCGTCGTCTTCCGCGATCAGACTCGTCGCCATGCCATCGACCACCCCTATCCGGATTCCCCTACACGTGAGCGTGCGAGCGGTGAGGTTGAAGTGGATGTGCGGTTTGGTAGACCACCCGGCGGAATACGAAGGCACATTCCCTGCTTCTGGCCAGGGAAGAGGCCTGAAGCAGCTGATGTGGTCCCGGCCGGGTTGGCTGACCATCAGCGGCACCGTCTTGGGGATGATTTGAACTCGCCAGTCAGGTACCCAGGACGGCCAGCTGGTATTGCGAGGGGTATCTGCAGGTTTGTGGGATCTGAATAGAGGTGCAAAGCAGATTATGTCGAGGCTGCCCATGACCCTCGCAAATTCAATGACAAAGCCTGTGTACACCGCTTCGACCGTGTTCTTGTGGTTGTAATCTGGAGGACCCACAATCGCGCAGTCCTGTTCCGTGACGAGGCCGAGGAGCGAGTAGATCCTGTCTCTTGGATCGTGGCACTGGTAGTTGCCGGTGGAAGCCAAGAGCGCCGTCAAGCTCAGCTTTTTCCTGGTATGGGGGACATGGAAAAGCTGACGGACGCGCCTTCGTCCCCAGGCCGTACCCCAGACGCGGGCGTCGCCTAGGCCATGGACGTGATAACACCAATACAGCTCCTGCATGGCATTGTGAAACATCGTGTGTCCGATGCTCCTCTCCCCACAGTGAAGGATGAGCTTCGAAGGAAGGACGAATTCCTGGAGTGTCCAGACTCGTCTCCACCAATCCAAGCCAAAGAAATACCGGACAGCCTCCCAATTGCTCGGATTCCGGAGTTTGTCAACGTCCCGCACCGCACAATTCGCAAGTTCACAGAGAAAGTCGACAGCCCTGTCGCTTCGCTCATCGCTCTGGCCAAGCCAAACGACAGTCCTGAGGGACTCCTGGTAGATGCGCCCCATGAGCTGCACCTGCTGCGCGCGCTCGTGCTCGTCCTTCTGGTTGATGCAAATCGAGTCGATCCAGACCCAGTGGTAGTCGGGAATGCGAAAGCAGGCCGAGTCGCAAATCGCCTGGAGCAGCGGATACAAATTGTCCAGGACTGGAAATGGGGCCTCATCGATCCAGATCGAATGTGTGTAGTTGGAAGGGCCCCATACGTATGAGAAGGTGACGAAGTTTGGGCGTGTTGGATCGTCGAGATTGAAGTTGTGCAGTATGCCGCGAATCCTGCCGTCCCTGCCTCTTTTTAGATTGAGAAGCCGGATAGGGGCGAACTTTTTGTAGATGTAGCTAGTAGCCGGCGCTTCATCCATGCTGGATCGTGGGAGGGTGGAAAGTGGACCTGACGAGATTTGGGGACCAAGGATAAAGTTGCCGAACTGCGACTGTGCCAGCTGGTTGAGGGGTTGAAGCTCAGCTGTGGCTTGGCAACCCAACCCATCCCGACCTTTGCTTGTTGCCTTGAGTGCGGATTTTTTGAACCAATCATCGTTAGCTGTTTCGGATCGTGGGCAAGAGATGAACATCAAGCCACATTTCAAGTAAGTGGTGAAAACAGATTCTTTGTAGGTCATCATTGAGTTATCGCTACGCTGGTTGGGAGGACAGAAGCAAGAGTTCTTTCTTCATCCGGCGACAATGATAAACAATGTCGAAAAGGGGCTCCAGGCAACACGTCACAGGAGGCGCGTCAAGTCTGCAAAAAAAGAATTAGCAAAAAAGTCGCTTCTACCGATAATAAAAACACTAAGGTGACTGGGTACATATGAGCTTTCCCGCGGCCAAACTCGTTTTTCCGAGGGACATCATGGAGTCGACCGATATAATGCTCATGACATTTGGGTGGAGAGCGAGACAGAAAAGGCAAAAAATGGACATACCGCGGATTGAACGCGGGACCGTCTGTAGCTGCAGAGCATGCCACATGAATGACAAGTCATTGCAAAACAGAAATCATACCACTAGACCATATGCCCTTGGAACGGTTGTTTATCTTCTGTAGACAATCCATCTATGTTCCCTGGACTGCAAACCAAACCGCACGCGCCAATTTGCGTGGAATCCTGTCACCTGTGCACACTTCTGACTACACCATTCACATAACGTCATGACAGACAATTCGATGCGACTTTCACTAATGGACAGGAAGTTTTCGGACAAAAATGTAACCCATATTGTTAGTATCCTGCCACCCGATCTATTTTTTTTATGCCTGTCCCTTGTGCAGCTTAGGCCCTAGTGCACCTTATCACACTAAAAAGCTGCACCAACACGTCTTCCTCGACACCTTCATCCATGTCACCCCTTGGTCCCACAAAAATGCATTCCAACCAGCACTTGGACCCCTACTCACCCGCTATTGAACGCGCTGTAACCAACACCATCGTAGTCGTCCTCACAAGCGAACCACTATCTTGATGCGGATCCGTCGTGGTCGGACCGTCCTTGACCGTAATCGTCTGCGCCACGTTGACATCCGTGTATCCCGTCCTCACAATAGTAGTTGGATACGCCGGGTCCACCGTCTCGACGACGGTCTCGCGGATGGTGGTCAGGAGGTTGTAGAACATAACTGCCCATGCGCCATATAGGGCAACGATGGAGTGCTGGTAGTCGGTGTAGGATGCCGTGAGCGCTGTCCGGGCGGTTTGTGGTGGGGTGGTGGCAGACGGGCTGTCATTCTCTCTGGTAGTCCACACTAGCTCGGTTGTTTCGGACCATGTGGACGCAGAGCCGTTTTGTTGAGCTGCGGAGAAGTGGGATATGGCTGTCCCAGTTGTGAGGGAGGCCGATCTGTTGGAAGGGGCGTGATAGCCCACATCGCGGGGCATGATGAGAGTGACGACAACGGTGGCGATGGCCGGATATGGGTTGTTCTGGGCGACTGTGGTTGTGTAGACTGCTGTGTGCGGCAATGCCGGTTGTGCCGGTTCGACTGGGCCGCTAATGAACTGTCCTGCAACCACCGCTATGAAGGAGGCGGCGGTGTGGAGGACCAGTGCGAGATGTCTTCTTTCCATCCCTGCGTTCTGCTCCTGGCGCACTTCTTCATGCGAGAGTGATCCTTAAATCCGGCACTGGAAGTCCACGTTGTTTTTGGGAGCCGTTAGCCTGCTGATGGGCTAATTATACTTTTCTGTCTCCTGGCTTTTCCCGTAGTCATCCTTGCAAATTGCAGGCGGCCGCTTGCAGGTCGTACAGCACTGAAAGTCCAACGAGACATGGGTGAACCTCTTTCTCCCCGCCGGGTAAATCGGTCAGCTGGTATACGCGCCTAATTTCACCCTCTAATGTCAGCAAAAAAACTCCAAAACAGATGCTGCCAAATCCTTCGGCCCCTGGTTTTCGTCCGGTACCGAAGCGGCCCGGTATAGACATAAACTCAGATGGGAACCAAGGAGAAAGTTCGTAGAAAACAAAATCCAGAGCCACGAAACCTGCCAACGGAATATCATGTGTCATTCCTGATATGGCAATCCTTCCGGCTATTGCGGTGTATCTGTTATTATGAATAATGAAGCTGGTTCCTGTGAACACGCCTTCTGTCAAAGATCACTTGCGGAGATTCTAGAGGTGTTTATGGTTGTATAATAGTCTCCCTAAGGACTTCTACGACTAGATGCGTTCCTGTAACACGGATAAAAGTTGATACCAGTTACTAACTTGACGTCAAGAGCAACGTAGAACATTTCGACCAAGTCATGGAACGCTTGAGACCTTTGACTAGGTACATATCGCGGTACTACCGCATTTCTCATGTTACAGCTAAACGGAAGCACATGCCAAAGTCTCTTGGCCGCTCTTTGAAGCTAATAAAATTGCTGTCGTCGCTTCGTTGAGTTGTGGCGCGCCTCTACGCTAAGGCTACGGGGCGCTTCCTGGCCTCGCTTTCTCTCCTGGCAACTCTTCCTGTCTGTTCAGACAATTTCGCGCACAAGTAGGTTAAATCCGCTTTCTAGGTCCGGAAACTAATGAACAAAGCAATGGCGTTAGGGTAAAAGGGATGATATCACCGTACGCATCGTCGGGTGTCTTTCCACATGATGTGTGGTGACTGGAACTCAGCAACAGCTGGGAGTATATTGTAAGATGATGACGGGTTGAAGTGCAGGCACGCAGCAGCGGCGTACCCGAACAGCTAGGTACCTACATGTGCCAACGGCCGGTGCGTGGGCTGCTGCGCAACCCAGCAAACCATGAAGATTCGATGCAGATTCCGTGCAGATTCCGTGCAGATTCCGTGCAGATTATCCGTAACAAATAGAATCCCAACTAGAAGTCAAACCTATAAATGACAATACTGCATGTGCGGTTTGCACGGCCTTACAGCTGTTCAGGTGCGCTGCCGCTGCGCGTACCTGCTTCCATCTACAATCAGTCTTTGATGGGGGTGTGTGGGTGAACTGGTCCATAGATCTATGCGGTCCATGGTGGTGAAAGTGGAAAAGGCTGGAGATGGAAGATATGGTGGCGTAGAGCCTAAGGCACCCACTTCACAACAGTCTATCACTTATGTGACGACACCACGTTGCCTGCAGTCCGGAGAGACTTTTCATCCTGACTCACCCTCACAGCAAAACTATCTTTATGTCTGTTAAGTCGCTAGCTTCGAGGCAGTCAAACATGCCAATGTCCCTGGCTTGTTCACTGTCCCAGGGCTCAACGAACACTTTAGTTCGAGTGTAATTATATGAGAGTCTCAGCTGTTGATGGCACCAACATGGCAGATGGGTGCCTCTTTTTGGATGACACGCCTGCCGGCTGCTGATGTACCCACTACCGCGCGTCATCACGACGTCATAAAGCCACTAGAGCATCCGCAACACGATCTAAGGAGTGTTTCAAGAACCACCATAGCTGACCCCTACGCTGTTATTTGAAGCACGTGAACAACCGCCTGTTTGCAACCGGATACACTCTTGGGCTAGTGCCCGTCATGTTCCACGCTCCACCCACCATCCATCTTGATCATACTACCACACCTTTCCCCTTCACCTGCACCACAGTCCGTTTTCAGGCCTGGTATCTAGGCCAGAATGAAGGGGTGGTACCAATGCAATCCATGCTCACAGCCAGGGTAAAAACGCAGTTGGAGGTAGGTGGACGTTACAGCATTGAACTCCGGCCTACCTACTCAAGATACAGCGCTTTTCCCTCCGTCTTTATTCTTGTTTCTCTCCACCCTTTCTGCGACCGGCCCTGCTTTTACTCGCCTATCTAATAACCCTCTTGTCACCCTGCTCCGTTCGCCACGTCGGTCAACCCCCCAATAGCCCTGATCCAGTCGCTTGGATCTTGTATCACCGGACTGGACCATTTGGCCAACCTGATACCCGTGAGTTATGTCGCCCTTCCACCCCCATCCACCCCCCCAGTTTCCGACTCTTGAACCTCGTGAATTTTCTGTTTGTTCGAGGGTTCGGAGGGGTCGATCCCCTGTACTCGCAAAGAGTGGCAGACGGGGCACGGATTCAGTTGTACCAAAGCGTATTCAGCCGCATTTCGGTGGCACCAGCCGCATCCCCAATTATTGCACGGTTCGAATTCCCTGAAATCTTCGAACGGGTGACCGTTTGAGCACCGTATAGGATATATGTGGAGAATGCACATATTTCTGGGGGTAAAAAGAAATGTACGGTGTGGTTCGAGTTTCGATGATTGAGGGTATAGTAGGTAGTCGAGGTTTTATCGGTGTGAGCTCTGTCGACTAGGTATGTTAATTTCTCGATATTGTTGGCGGGATAAACGTCACTTGCCCAGGACGAAAATTTGCTGGACCTTCTTACCTAGACGGGGATCGAGTTTTCTTGGATGGGGATCGAGTCTTCTTGGACGGGGATGGAGTCTTTTCACTTCGAGGCTTACTGGTAGGAGCGATCTTGGAAGACCTTTATACTCTGGAGATGTTCATCTACCTGGTCACGGGTTCACGTGTCGTGTTAAATTTACCATACCACAACCCGTGCGGACACGCGCGCACAGGTTTCCCAGCCCGCAGCGTGGCGCGTCCGATGCTCGGGCATATACCTACTTTAACTCACGTTAGTTCACTTCTTCGCCCGGGAGTTTTTCAGTCCAACAACGACCCCTCTCTTACTAAAGAGCGAGCCTTTGGCTCGCTCGCCACCGTTTGTGCCCTCCTGATCGTAGAAGCGGTTTTGATGCATGCACCCTGTGCTTCCACTCTGCTTCCTCACCCGGCAGTTCGGGTACCGAATCGTGGCCTATGCATCACTCAAAGAAGACGGTTTGCCAGGACTCATGCGCACCGAGGATTAGATAGCGGGCACTCCTGTGCTATAACCACATAGAAGAGGGACCGCTTACCCCCTTAGACCTAAGGGGTGGAAGCCTTTGGCTTCTTGCGGCTTCAGACAAATAACAAGAGAAATTTGCCAGGGTTCAAACACAAGTCGAAAAGGCAACAGCAGTTCATGAACTGCGTCGTACCACACAGGCCCTTTCAGTATGCGGTCTCTGATGAATTCATCTGATTTCTGTCCCCGAAGCTGAAGCGAGAAATGGATAGCGACTGACAACTGGAAGCAACAGTCCACTGTCACCGTCGAGGCCGGCTAGGGTTAGGAGTCCGGCTCAGATATAGGTGGTACCTAGGTACCATAGCGGGAAAAGGTGAAAACACATAAGACAAATGGGCTTCAGCCTTGCCAGGGGACCATAAGCCGTGTCCTTATGGGCCCTGGATGTAACCCTCTATACAAATTTGCAGCGTGGGAATAGTTGCAAAAACGGAAGGAACGAACGTCGACCACAACCACCCACGCACACACGCACACAAGCCTTAAAAATTTTCCAAGTCCGATTGCTTTGCTCTTTTCCACACCCAACCAAGGCCATTGCCAGGACCAGGACCACCCGAGGACCAGGACCATCGCCAGGACCAGGACCACCACCAGGACTATCGCCACGGCCATCACGCATCGCCAGGATCCGGATTGCCAGGATCCGGATTGCC